CGCTGTCAGCTCCCAGATCAGCTTCTCTGATTTGTTGATGCGGCGCGTCCAGCAGCAAAACTTCAATTTTTCCATCTCGAGCAGCAGCAGCGCGTTGGCGGTGCGTCAGATGCTTAAACGCTCCCGACGTGCTGCACCTGCAGCTCAAAACGCGCTGCAGGACCTTTTGCTGCACCTATACGCGCGTCAACCATTGACTTTGCATGTAAACTCACTGCTTCTGCTGCACCTGCTGGGTCCGGTTCACACCGATGTCGAGCGGTTGAACAGGGAGCACAGCGTTAATTTGTTTCCCCATGTTTTTCACATCAGCTGTGAGATGGGCACGCATGGAGTTACATATTAACAGCGATGGTGATGAGTGGAAAAAAAACACCTGGTCTCCTTACATTCAGCCACTCTTTCATCATCTCCTCAATGAGGTGGTCTCAAAAGTCGCAGTTACAACACACATAAGGCGCACCGCACATTTTGAGGAAAAAAAAGACGTTTAAGTGCGCCTTATATTCCTGAAAATACGGTACACTCACTCTGGCATATTCTCTAATCTCTCTTTAAAAGAGAATATAGACATCAGGCTCATCATGATTTTATATTAGGTATGGTTAAAGCACATCCATTAAGAGTCATTTTCATTTGAATTTGCTTTACTGGAGACATCCATGTTCGTCAAAGAACTCTACTGCAACCAATCGGTTTGTGACGTCATGGTGCAGTATCGGCTGTTGATCAAGTCCTAGTGCTGTATCTGGTGTTTGTCACTACACACTATTATCCAAGTCATCTTTAAAACATTTTTCGTCAAAATGTTGGCTACATATCACATGTTTTTTCTCTGGCCAGAAGTTCGATAGCAAATCCTTCCTCTTCAATCTGGCAATCCAATGACGAACCCGTGCAGGATCATTTGTCATTGGTAATACATTTTTTTTTTCACTTTTTTTGTCAGTTTTACCGGATGTATTACAACATCCAACTGACATGCACGTGGGCATTGTCAGTTTAACGAACTTCAATGGTGAAGTCGTCTGGAAATCTTAAATTATTGTTGTTGATTGCAGATGTGTCTTGTAGTTCCTATTGATTTTGCTTGTAAAGCGGTGAGAATAGCCCTAAGCTTACCGCACAGTGACGTCACTGCCGGAAGATGTCGGGAGTGAGGTGTTACTATATTTGGGCAAAAATGGCCAGTCCCTGACCAAAAATTGTTTTGATTTTTTTACTGATCAATGCTAAATCATTGAATCACCGCTTACGTATTAGTTTTAGGTATAGATAATGATCATTTGATTATTTCTTGCTGACTGGACTTTTACCTTTAAAAATATTATTATCTCAATAAACCAGCAGGAACCTCTTAGATGGTTTTCCAAAACAGTAATAATTCAGAACAGCATTTACTATAGTAAATGCTGCTACAGATTTTAAAGGGAACTCATCTCCATAAATATGAGACAGTCTTAAACTGGGAAGGACATTAGCAAACACAGTAATAATCTTCTGACTGGTTCTTAATCATATGTTCCATTAGGCTGATTCTGAATGGCAGTGTTTGAGGATGTAAACAGCGTGCCGGAGCAGAAAGTGGCACCTACAGAGAGAAAGATGGTGATTACAGTAATCAAGACGTTTTCACCAAGGAAAGCAGAAGACAGAAATGAGGGGAAAAAAAGATGAACTGTCACACTCCAACCCAGACAAGTGAAGAGAAGATATTATAATATTTGATAATGTACAATTTCTGGAGTTGACAAATGCATAATTTCATAGCCTTTCAAAATACCATGGTGGAAGAGGGCACTCTTTAGTTTGTAATATGCACTGAGCTGAGGACTGATTTTCTTCTTTCTTAAACATCATTTTACTACAAAAAAAGAACTGCCCTATCAAATATGTTTTAAATTTAATTTAAAAAGAAAAAGTATTTTGACTTGGTTTTGTAACCCCCCCACCCCACCCCCCAACCTCTGCATCACTTACATGGACTCCCACTACTCTCCACTATTACCATGCATCCCCATTCCCCCCAGTAGTTATGGGTCGGTACCAGCATTGGTAATTGATCCCTCTGGGCTCTGCAGATGGATCCAGCTGAGCGCTGAATAGGCGCACAGCTAAGAAGACAGCTGCTCGGCTGGCCCATACAAACTGATAGAAAGAGAAGGAAAACACTGTTGCTTCTAACCGTTAGCTCTGTCTCCAAGCCTCCTTCTGCAGTGAGCAAACTCAGCACTTTGCTTTTTGGAACATGGTAAAGTCTGCCTTTTAAATTTCTTATCAACAAACTAAGAGCTTAAACTCAAAGCTTCTTCTGGGCAGTTAGTGGAAATGTCCATTCATGTATTTCAGCCAAGTTTCTACATTGCTTTGCTTTGCTGCTTTCGCAATATAAAATCAAAGAAAGTAACTTTATGAGTCTTAATACGTAGCCTCAAGTACTTCTTTTTTTAGTCTTCTATTTGTTTAAAAAAATACAGTAAATTAATATATGTTGACCAAATTTAATATAGAGTAAAGAGTTCAAACATTAGTTGAAAGACTATCTGAAATTAATATTATCATTATGGATCAGGGTGTCCAGCTGCATTTTTGATTATATCCCATGTAAAAACTTAAACCACATTTTCTGTTCAACCTCTCTCTAAAACACAACAGCTTTCTAATTAGACTTATTGGCTGGTTTAAAAGAGGAAAGTAACTTTTATTTTAATTGTGCGATTTATACATAAGCTTGTTCAATTTGTTTTAGCGGGAAATTAGGAACAGCACTTAGCAATATATGTCTAATAAAACCTTAAAAACATACATCAGAAGGGTTATAATCATATCTGAGTATTATGTTAAGTATAAGTTAACACTAAAATACTTTTTTTAAGAAATGAAAGCAAGAAAATTAATGCTTTCAAGTCAGCCATATTTTTTAGGGAGATGAAGCTTAAGTGAAAATCATATCTGGGAGATTTTTAGTCTTCACCTGTGCCACCTGCGATGTCCGTTGTTCAGCTGCATCCAATCAACTTGGGGCCGCACCTTTTCCGAAGCCTATCATCTTTCAAGATCCCTTCATTTAGCTGCTGGCCTAACTTCTCACAAGCAGTTTAACTCACCTCCACCCCATGTCCTCCCTCATTCTCAGATTATTCTCAGTCCCACTCATACTCTGGCTTGTTCTATCAGCAGTGTCTGGGCCCTAGGGGGAAGACTACTCTAATAATTTTCTTGGTTGCTTATCCCAGCGAATGTTGATTCACAGAATGGAAGTCTTCTGCCAGGGCCCAAGCTCACACTGACCTGGCTGTTTATGAGCCTGGTTTCTTCCTTTTAAAAGGGAGTTTTTCTCTCCACTGTCACTACATGCATGCTCAGTGCTAGGGGTTGCAGAGAGTGAATGAATCCTTGCATTCAACTGGGTTTCCTAAGATATTTTTGAAGAATATGTTTGTGTTGCATATATAAATATAAATTGAATACTTTCCAATTGAAGCTTTGCTCTGTGTGAATTGGTTTGGGAGTTGAGTGTAAAAATAAGATGATCCCTTCCTTTGTTTAATAACTGGGAATATTCAGTGAAAAGGTCGACATGGCTTTCGCCTGACAGCAACTCTGAAGTGTTTTTACCCATATTGTTAATTAGTCTCTTAACCAGCAGGTATCTATCTATCTATCTGGCTGTATCCAGATAGATAGATATGCATGATCCTGTTATGTAGATAAATTAAACAACGATTAAAAATATACTTCATACCTAGACCTTCCTTCCATCATTTGTTCCTTCGTTCCTTCGCTTGTTCTTCATACGTTCCTTTGTTCCTTCCTTTGTTCCTTTATTCTTTCCTGCCTTCATTTGTTCCCTCCTTTCTTCCTTTGCCCTTCCGTTCGTCCCTTCCTTCGTTCCTTCCTTTGTTCCTTAATTCCTTCTTTCATTCCTTTAATCGCTCACTCCTTCCTTCCTTTTTTCGTTCCTTCCTTCCTTCATTAAATTTTGACTAAAATTATTCCAAGAAGGGTAGAAAATTCATGTTTAATAATTTTCCTTGTTATAACAATGATTTCGACAATAAATTTCATACCACTGGAAAGCCTTTTAGTTTTCTTAAAATTTGGCAAACTATATTTTGTAACCCAAATGTATTGGTGAGTTTAACAAAAGTAAAGTATGTGGATTGAACCCATTGAGAATTTTACAGGTCATCATTAGCAGTGTTTTCTCTCATTGACTTTTGTTTAGTGTCGTTTTTTAATAAAACACTAAAGCTGGGATGCGTTTAAAGATTAATGGTCTACTCTTTTAATAAACAGGGGCTTTAGTAATAATACTGACCATCTTTTTGTAACCTCCTTCTAATGCTGGTCCCAAACTTGGCCATACTTTTTAGTGGATTAGCATCCGATCGTGGTTCTATTCTCAGAGGCAGAGGTCAAGACTTCAGGCATTTCATCTTGTCATGTCCAAAATTATCCGATAAACCCGATGGACATAGTTGACTTTCTTATATTAACACTACGTATTACAGGAAAAATGGGCATTACTTCCTTTTGAGTGCTGAATATTGATATTTTTAATATGACAAATAAAAATATTAAATACTATATTTCTACATATATTCTATTTTCTACTTTGGTCAGACACCTTTGCTAACTCGGTAGGTTAAACTAAAAAAGAAGCTTTTTAAAGCTCACTAAAATAGCTTTTGTAAGATAAATGAAACACTTTTTTTTTTTAAAGAAGAGCATTACTGTGCTAGTATTTATAGTTCAAGAGCTCTGCTAGTAATGTAAAATTTATAGCAAAACACTATTTACTGTTATTTTTACATCTTTTCCCTATACTTGCACTGTTTGTTTAATCTAACTGCCTTACAGCAACAGCTAAAAAATGCATTTAACCCCCTAAATCCCTCTTTAAAATTTGGTAGTGGTGGTGTTAGTTGGGATGAGACTGTCTACGTTTTTTGGACTTGATAACCATCGCCCCTTCCCCTCTTCCTCTTTTCCTTTAGGCTCTATGACGCGACAAGAGTTCCCCACGACATTCTTGCACTATGGAGAGCTTTGACGACCCCTTGACAGACAGCCAAAACCCACCAACCAACACCACCAACACAACAGCAGATCTACCTTTACCTTGGTGCCACAAAGGCAGGACAAGCAATCGGAGAGCACCAAGGGCCTCTTTGAGGCAGCAAGGTACATTAAATACCCTGTTAATTTGGATCTTTTTTCTAAATCAAAACATCTTTAAAAAGAAATCATTGACCAGATGCTATTATTTAATTGCAATTGTCCAAATTCTGAGGTAAAATGGTATTTATTTTCCTTTTTCTTGATAAATATCTAAAATGTGAGGTTTAAATAGTCCTCACCAGAGTCTAGGCCAGATTTGAGTCTAGGCTCTCTCAGTTTGTGAGGACAAATGGTAATAGTACTCAATTAGATATTAAAAGCTTGGAAAATGGTCCTAAAACTAAACAGTGCTTTAAATATCTGCCTATCTTTACCCCAGACCTTTCTTGGTCATTGTTTGCTCTTTATAATGCGTTTTTGATTGAGCAGACTAGATAAACTCTAAAAGGATTGCATAAGACTTTTCTTGGAATTATCTGAGCAAAAGGGGGCTCAATACAAATTTAGAAACATTTTATTAGAATTTGAAATGTAAAAATGCATTTTAAAACTTACACTGCAAAAAAATGTAAAGCCAAATAATTATTTTATATATATATATAAAATCAATGAATGAATAGGAATTTATTTCAGACAATTCCTGTTAAACAAATTTTGTATCTAATATTCACACACAAATATATATATATATATATATATATATATATATATATATATATATATATATATATATATATATATATATACACACACAATTATATACACACAATTATATACATTTGTATACACAAATATATATGTAAATATTTTCATCTCCATACATACATGTAAACAAACATTTACATACCAACATAATATAAAATGAGCTGATTTTATATAGAATTGAACTGGAAAGTGAGACAGTTTGCCAATTGGAACAAGTAAATTCACATAAAAAAAAAAGAATAAATAATTGCCTTGACTTATTTCACGTGAATAGTATCTCATTTTCTTATTTTAAGAGCAAAATACTCATTCTCCTGGCAAATCATCTTTTTTACATACTCCAATTAAGGCCAAATATACTTATTTAAGAATTTTTATTTTTTTTTTATAAAAGTGTAATTATAGTTTCCCTGTGCTTTGTAATTATGCGTTAATTTGTATTTGTTATAACTTCAAATCACCATGGAGTAAAATTTAAAAACATTTAAAGTGTATGAATACATTGGAAATATCCTGCATTCTCTAGTGATGTCTCCTTAGCCTTATCCTTAAGATGTAATACTGCAAAGAACAGCACAAATTGTAAGTTTGGCTGTTTATATAGCTTATCGATTTCCCCTTGTGTATATTTAACTGCTGAAGATTCATGTGTGCAGGAAATCCAATAAAACTGTTTTATTTCATTTTTGCTGGCTTGCTTTTATAGGCATACCTTATATTTTCCCTTACAAATACCTTCTATGACAGGTTGTGTCTTGTAGACAAACAACACAGGGCACCAGACAGACTGGGATTTTAATACATGTGACTGGGAAATAGAGTAGCTGTACTGTAAATTTAACTTGCAGCGCAATAAAAGGGTCTAGACCCAAGTCATAAAGATGGCCCCTCTCATGGAGAAAGCCACGCTCTTCTGTTGGGTCAATACCATCACCATTTATGACCAATGTTATGATTAGGTTTTAAAGCATAGATCCTGCAGCTTTTCAGTCCAAGTGATTGTGTCCACTGCTGATGCAAAACTATATTTAGAACCAGAGCTCAATTTCCGTTGTCGACTGTTGGAGCTTTACCCTCGGATTGGATTGAGGCATTTGTTATTTAATCAGTCATCAAGAAATACTATATACTTTGTCTACCTTTCCACATTTGGTCCTATTACAACCACAAACTGCTTTTTTATTGGGATTTTTTTACCATATTTTTTATAAAGACAGCGTTAAAGTTTCTTAACAAATGAAAAAGATGAAAAGTGCAGTATGTATTTCTGTACTCAGCCTACTTCTCGCTAAGATACTGTACCAAAATAAAATCCACTGCAAACATCTGTCTTCACTAGTCACCAAAATAGGAGATATAGTCCAACTGTAGGAAATCCTGCTTTTCTGTTCTCTAAAGGTCTGAGAGGTTTGTTATAGAATAAAAACATAAATCTTAAATGTATTACATTGGCGGGGGGGGATGGAACGGGACATGCTGATCATGAAAAACTCAATTCTTCATTTTATCTTCATAGTGTTTATTGTGCGTAAAACAGTCTAAGGATGAACAAGAAAAGAACATTTGCAATTGTTTTTCATGAGGCACATTATTTATGTGATGAATAAAGAGGTGACAATGTCCTGATTGCATTGTTTATGACACATAAACCAGTTTATAATGAATAACAATATAAAGTTAGATATAAAGTTGTAAAAGGTTAATAAAAGAACTCTGTTAAAAGAAACAATATCCCAAGCTGCAAATATCTACTGTAACTTTAGATTATTATTACTTATAGGAAACAAAAGGAGAGCATTAATTAGGAAAACAGACACAGCCTCATTTTTAGTTTGGTGGAGATGTAGAGATCCTCAGCTAAGGTGGAAAAAGGAGAACCTTTATAGAAGAGCAGGATAAAATAATGACAAAAAAGATCTGGCTTGTTTGTGCACCACCAAAAACTAGACCCATGTAGGGTATAACGACGTTTCTCTGATCAGATGAGACCAAAACTGACTTTTTTTTGGCTTACATGCACATCTTCTTACACACAAAGGGGTAAAGCACTGTAGGGACAAATTGAAGCTGGGAGGATGTTTGTCTAAACCTAAAACTGAATATTTATCATCCAACAATAATATTACACTAAACGTACATATCAGCTACTATAGGAAAGTTATAATATACCATGTTTATGTTCTTTACATAAAGAGAGTGGAGAGATACATCTAAGTGAGATTTTCCTTTGAAATCTCAATAATATAAATTCATTTGTAAGGTACGAATACTTTTGATGATCTACAAGTCGAAGAAGCTATTTCATAGCTTTAACAAATCGTGACATTTTGTTGTGACTGTCGGATGCCACCAGGAGTAAATTTTGCTTTAATTTTCTGTCTGGAGAATTTAGTCTTGATCCTATTGTTGAATGCAGATAGTGAAACATGTTTACTTTGATGTTCTAAGGAAATGCAGTATGAAAGGGCTGATAATGACATAACATCCCATATAGCTTTGAAGTCTTCCCTAATGTGAGACAGGGACTTGCGTCTGGAGGCCCATGCATACATGTTCATGGATTTTGATCTAGGCATCTGCTTAAGGCATTATCCAACATCACAGCATGTAATGAGCAATTTCCCGTCCCTTATTAACCTGTGGATCATTCCTAACCTACTCATTCTCTTATGAATATTCATCCAGGAAGCTTTTGTTGTAGTCTGAAGGAGAATATGCATTAGTGTACAAGATTTAAGGCATGAAACAAGAAGGGTAAAAAGTCTTTAGAGCAAACAGAGAAAGGTGATGCAAAAAGGAAGGTCGCTTTTTCAGGGTGAGATATTCATGGATATAAAAAAATTATTTTGTCATTTAACTATTGCGTTATTCGCATCTAACAAAGATAAATACTTTGAGGAGCCAATGGAGATTTGTCGTCTGTGTAGAGTGTCCACTCACACATTCCTGGCAGGTCTCAGAGTGACATTTTGAAATGGAGTCAGGAAGAGTTCACACTGAAAATTTCAACCCAGGACAACCATGTTTGCACATTCTTACCCCTATAACTCCCATGGACATGGTGACTCTATATGCCTTGCTTATGCTTTTGAACATATTCACCTCTAATAAATGGGGATGCAACAATTATCAATTATAAATTAAAGCCCAAGTGCCCGCCTTGAGAAAAGATGCTTTAAGTAACATCACTTAAAGCAAATGTTTTCCTTATACTCATTCTAATCCTGCCAGACAAGTATTGATAGGATTCAAGAGAAGAGTCTGCCCGCTTAATAACAAGAGAACAAGAACAAATTATGTTAACACTGATGATTTTTGTCTACAATATTCCCTGGCAAATCCTCCAACAGCTATTAATCTGATATAATAGCTTAATTTGCTTCCTCATGTATCTACATTTGAATTGGGTCTATTTCACTTACATACATATTATCCTTTTGTCAAATCTACTGTTCATTTGGACCCAATGAATTTGATTAAATAAGGACAGATTTACCTTGGTTGCATTTTCACCTTGTTGAAAAAAAATCATAGCTTTTTGTTTGGGTAAGCTTTCAAATGTAGATAATGACATTGCTAATATGTAGAAGTATCAAAAGTATTATCAAGATACTGAATTGACCATTTGATTAACTTTTCATTTACTGTAAAAATAAAAATAAATCTTCAGACAGAATTACCACAAAACCTGATTAGCCTATTTAGATGAAATGAATGTTTTACTTCTACAGTAATGTTAATAGTATTTCCTTTGGGACCTGATTAGATTAATTTCTGGGTAAAATGAGGGCGTAATTTTCCACAACTGACACAAGACTGCTCATGTTATATCTTGCAGTAGTGCTATACTGTATCCATATCAGATACACTTCCTGAGACTAAAGTCTGCACTTCTACATGTGTTAAGAAATCTAGTCCTAAAGAGCAGCAGGATTAGATTTTTGTTGCAAACCCAACTTTGGAATAAATGCTCACTAGACGTTTAAAAGAGTTTTCAAGATCTATGAAACTGTTTGCCCTCTGACCAAATGTGGCTGAATTTTAGTTAAATTTTATACTCATCATTAGGAAGTGTTTAAAGGCATATTCAAACAAAATTCTGTTGGAATTGAATCAATTGAATTTTTGAGTGGAGGCTGTCCAGGGATCTTAAAAAGTGGTACAGAGTTTTGGTCGGGACAATGTGGTCGGTTTTTGAGGTTACAAAAGATGGTTCATTAACTTCCTTCTTGGTGCTATTTAATGTTGGCTCAAGACATAGCATACTTCTCCAAGAACTCGTCAGCAAAAATTGAACATCAGTTGGCTTTCTGCCAAATTTTTACACTGTTCAGATAGAATTTATTGTTGTATTTAGTATGAGTTGCTTATAGACAGGTCTTAATGTGGCAGTTAGTGCTAAAAATTGCAACGCTGAGCTGATCCAATTAAATATTGTGTATTCAGTGTTGTAGAAAGATAGTGAGCCATAAAGCTCTCCAGAAAAACCCGACTATGCATTATTGTATGTAGCATAAAAGTTTGATCACCAGATAAGTCAAACTGCCCCATATATTTTGGATATGTCAACGAATTCAGCTGCTTAAGTCCCACGGCTCCCACATGGCATGAATACCACACATACGAGCCACTGCTTTAGAACAGATGCAGCTGCGACTATCTCAGCTTCAAGCCAACAGTATTACTTAAGCTACACTGTGCCGTCGGCACTGAAGAAGATACACTCTCTGGGCATGTAAAGAAATGTCTGCTTTTCCCAGTTTCTCATTAATTTGATAATCAGACCGAAAGCAGGCTCTTATAGACCTTTAAATCTCTTACTTCCAAAGGGTTGAAATATTCTTAAAAAGATCAATTAATAACACAAGACAAACAAGACTTTTATGTCATTTCAAAGGAAATTTGAGCAGTCCTGAAGCACATAATTAATCCCAAATCAAATTCACATTGCAACAATAGCACAGAATTTGATCGACACTTTTTAAAGATGTGACAAGAACTGAGTGTACAAAAATTTCCCTTCATTTTATTACATTTAGGTATAGGTTATATAGGCATTATAGGAAAAAGAAAACAGGTGAGGAAAGAAATTGCTTTGGTCCCAATTACGTAATTTATAATCCTTAGAACTCTAATTAAAAACCCTTACATATTAATGAACATGCCTTTATTTGACTGTTTTTGTGCTGATCCTTGACAAATCTGCACCACCCTTTTAGTATAATAATGATCAATAATAAACAGTTTAGAATGAACACCAATGTAAATGTCTGACAAACCCAGTCAAAATGTGACACTGTGGCTTCTCCCATTAAATAAAATCATCACATAAAAATTTGCATTAGGGCTGAACGATTTGGCCAAAATCAAAATTGGATTAATTTCAACCAATACTGTAATTTTGATTTTATTACAATAACAAAAAGCATTTAGACATTCACTGCAGGGTTGTTGCGGAACTTCGCTGTAACCTTTGGGTGAAGGAGTTCTTACTCCTACTAACATGCATGGATCCATTGGCTATTTGCAACCCTTTCCTTCCTTCTTTGTGGCAGCAAAACCACTTTAAGTTTTACCGCCACCTCAAGGGCTGGAGGGAGAAGAAATAGGACACCACAGCTTGTAAAACAGCCCAGTAAATCATGGTAATACATTACCTGTGCACTTCAGTGACATGTTCACCTACGTCATGCATATTGTTTTTAAAAGTTGTTATTAATTGTAAAAATATACTTACATCTGTGGAGTTCATTTCCAAAACCGGATGAGTTCTGGGAAGCAGCTTCGTTCCAAGTCAGCTCTTGACTACCCTCGGTCTAAAGGGATAATTTTAAGGGTCTTAAATGTATTGGAACACACTACTCTTACACGTTAATGAACAAAACCAAACGCTAGGGCCCAAAATGAGTGTGAGTGATAGAAGTGGGACGGCCTTATTACTCTATCAAATTTAATGCGACTTTTCAGCTGGTTTTAATAGAAGACCTATATTTTCCTAAGAGAGATATTAATAATTTTCCACAGTGGTATGTGTATAAACAGGAAAGCCTTGTACGAAAGCCTGCCATGCAGCTATGCAATGTTTTCACCCATTTTTCTCAGTTTTTCATCATTATGACCAATATATTTCTAACACATTAAAGCTCTGTCATCAAATACTCCAGCCAGCACTTAGCCAAGCATTTTGCAGTCATGACTTTGCTTTTACCTTTAATGATTTGGCTCATTTCATGTCCAGGTCCAACAAAACCCATGACATTATCTTCAATAAGCCGAGAGTCAGTGGGATGTTTAATATTCCCAAAGCATAAGACATTGTCATCTGTGATACATGATAGTACTCTATTCAACACCTGCCTCTTTCATGGCAAATTGCACCCCATGAAATCGTCAAGAGTTTATTATTATGAATTAGGCTTCAGTGGCTCTGTAACGCTCCTGGAAGGCATCGGTACCTCTATCAAGTTAACTGTGTGACTGGCAGTGGCCAGATGGTGAGGAGGCTGCTGGAAAAAAAAGCTCTATGTTGCAGATTGTGTTTTTGCACGGTCTCTGCTCTGTTACTAACTGCTTTTATTAGCTTACACTAACTAACTATGTCTAAATATTTGACTTGCAAAACACAGTGCAATCAGAGAGCCTTAATCAACATTCTCATTTGCACAAGAACAATAGCTAAATTTGATATCCATGACAAGGCACCATGCAGAGCAAGATATTCATATTTGTAAAAATTGTAGAAGAAACCATTATGTCAATTATGTAGCAGATGAATGACTGAAGTTACCTAGAGCTTTAAAGAAACAGACAAAGTACCTTTAAAATTGCCTTATTTTAGTAACAAAGAGGGACATTTCTTACATCTGCAGAAGGTGTTGTTTTATTTTTGTGAGCATTTCATGTCATACAATTTTTCTTGAGTGTTACTGAAATGGGGAAAATGCAGCTGAATGTTAAAACACTGCAGAGGTCTTCATGTGTTTTCTTTTTTTGTTCCATGAAAAGCATTTATTTTTAGCCCTGCTCCCTGCTGACATATAACATAGCATACCCTGTAACTTACAACTTGAAAAGAAAGGATCTTCTGTTTAGAAAGCTGTGAAAAATGATGATACACAACTTCACACCCATGCATTGTCTTTTATCTTTTCCTATCACCATTTCATACTTGTATACAAACCATTTTTTTGCCTGGGAACTTGCTATTTCCTCCCAAATTTTCTAGTCTTTGGTTGCAAAAAACATATTCCTGACTGCAATATTAGAAAGGTAAATTTACTCATACAAAAACTGAGGAATAACTACATCGAAAACCAAAAAATCTATGTTTAATCATGTAAACAGCTGATAAAACTGCACTGTGATTTCTGTGCATAGTGGTTAACATAAATTCAGCAAAAAAAATTTAAATAATAATAATAAATAATAAATTGACAAAAATAAAAATAGATAAAAACTATGAAAACGTTTAAAACCATGACATTTTTAATACATATATCTCTTGTGTGTGATATTTTCTGTAAGACTTCTACACCTTTTAATAGGTATGTTCTTTCATTAGCAAGTTACTTTAATTTGTCTTGGACAGTTCTGTTTTTAGATTTATTTTCTTTATCTTAAAAAAAAAATCTAAATTTATAGTTCATTTTAATAAATTATTATTTTGTAACTTTTTATTTATTTGTACCTTCTTCAGTTTTCTGTTATTTTACTAGCTGAGAACCGTAATTTCAGTTTGTAGACCATTTCTTCTTCACTTTCCTTTATAATTAAACTATAATATACTTTTACATTTTTTCTGTTTTATATATTTTCTTAATGTTAACCATATGTAATAATTGCCCTGTTGGTAAATAATCCATAGGCTTAGAAATAAATTTTCCGTCCCCACTAATTGTTTTTTTCCCTGTGTTTCCAGGTGTCATAACACAACCAGAGGTGCATATACACTGGAGTGACTGACTAACGGAGGTTTATCTCCCACGGGAAACCAGACAGACTCGCTATCAAACACTTCCCGCCTTCTGTTACTTGCACCTCTGGGTTTCCGTCTGCTCTCCCACGCCGTCTTTCACCAGGTCAACGCCTTCCTCCTAGTCCCTGCATCTGCCTGTTCGATGAAAACTTTTATGCCATGGAGGACCGGACACCTTCAAAGACTGTTTTTGTCATTGGGAATCCAATTTTCAAGGAGCTAGTACCATTTTGAAAAGGGATTTCCCGCCTCCTCACCACCACTACCACCACCTCTCCAAGTCTTTCTGTAGTGCAGGAGTTTCCAGAGCACAGCTGGGATCATTACAGACCGAACCCTTTTGCTGCGGACCACTTGATGAGGCCGTAAAAACCAAACTGTGCACTCTCTGCTGTGAATAGGCCTTCTGCTGGAGTGAAACTCCTTTATTTTTATAGACCAAAGAGCAAAACAACAAATATGATCATTATGACCGAGGTGACAAAAGACACATATTACTTGTGGGGTTTCTACAAAATCTCTACGAGAACAATCTAATCAAAGAAGTCCTTTTAAAACCTTCTGGACATTGTTTTTTCCCCCCTCAGACTGAAGTTGTATTTTGGAACTCGAAATATAGGTACTGCATACGTATAACTATGTATCAACAAAAAAACAAAACCTAATTTGTGATTTTTCAGTAGCTCTGGTTTCAGATGGAACTGTTACAGAATTCACATTGAAAGAAATGCTAGACATCTATGGAGAGCATGGATGCTGTTGAGTTGGAAAAAAAGGAGCTCAGAATTGCCATTAAATGTATTTTGAAAGGCCCTTAAAAGTTATATATTTAACAATTTTATATGTTGTACCTTTGTAGAGAAGCTTATTGGACTTAAATGTGGTCACAATGGCAGTTTAGTAGAACGTGAACAAATGCTGTTCTCATTACTGCTGGCTCGTAGTCTATGGTTTTCTGTTCACACCTCAGTAGCTGCTTTCTTTTCATGGTTATCTACAAGTCACAGTCTTATTAGAACCATTAATGACAAAAAAAAGGAAAGTGACATAATTTCTTGAAGACTGATGTGCAGCCAACAGAACATTGTAAATCTATGGTAGTCAGTGGAAGCCATTGAAATCTGCTAATTTGCTATGATATTGTATTGTACACGATGTGGAATACTGATTCATTTCCTCTCTATGGGTTTTGATCTCTTAATTTATTTTGGTGCTTGTGTTCGTTCGCACAAATCCACCCTCTCTCTGTTGGTAATCTGGACCACAAAGGAAGCAGAGAGGAGCACTACAGAAAGGAAGCACTGCAAGCATAGTCATATAAATACATTTTTTTATCATGAAATATTTTAAGAATAAATTAAATACATGGAAAAACATGCAGATGGTTTTCGTGGTCAAGGTGAAGGTGGGAAGTCTGATTACTGCTTATGAATTTGTGTTTTTATTCTAAAAAGGTGAGCAATCAAGGTTTCATTGATTTCACAGGTTTTAGAGTGACTTTACTACCATAAACCATTTATATTGGAAGACAACTGTAGATGTCAGCATTTACTCATAATTACCGGCACCGATTTTTTTATTATTTATTTTTTGGAGAAGTTCACAGTCATAAAAATGTCCAGAGCATTACAAATGTGGGTATACTGCCTGAGATTTTTTATTTTTTTTGTCACATTACAACCACAAACTTATATTAGGGAAAAAAAAAAGATGTATCCTTTGTGTCCTACATGTTTTTTTTTTGTTTTTTTTGTCGGACTAGATTTGAGTCTCTACAGCTTATCCAGTGGCACCACTGACCTTTTGGCTGGGTATCTAAGCACTTTACATGATAAACTAGATGCTGTTTCATGAGATGGTTAGAGCGGGAGATTATCTTGCTTCGAATGCCTCCCCAACTTTATCTAAAAAATGCTTTGTTCCTACTCTCAGTGTTGTTGTTTTTATATAATATATATTAGGGCTGAAACAATTAATCTTATTAAACATAATTAATTGATTATTGATTGTTATTTAGTCAACTAATTTAGCAATCGATTAATCGTTAAATGGAGTACAGAAACTGCATAACATGCCTCTAGCTGACAGAGCAACCAACTTAGAGCAGTAATTATATTAAAATTGTGAAAAAATATAAACATATTGCATTTAAGATTAAGACATTTCTGTCTGTCTATAAGCTCAATCCAGAACTTCTCAAGTGGAAATATTTTAGTTTGCCTCGATTTAATTGCGTAAAAAAAACCTTCTTTAAGGAACCTTTTGCTGAGGGATTATTGTTTCATCGATTTGAAAAAAGTTGCAGCAATAAAATATATATATTATACGTATAAAAAAATATGTATATGTATAATAGAATCACTACTTTGTGTTGGCAAATGAAATCTAACTAAAATGCATTGAAATTGGTGGTTGCAAGATGACAAAGTAAAACTTACTTTTGTAAAACACTGTACATATCTGGGTGGGACCAGTTTGTTTTCATGGAGGCACAGAAAAAAACTTATAATTTAAAATATATTAAGAGAGCTTATGAAATAAAGAGCCACTTGTGGCTCGGCACTAGATGAAGTGAAATTTCAATGTTTTTTGGTTTAATTAAGATGTGACTTTATATCTGAAGCTTTTAATTCTTGGTTTGAAAAAGTACATTTTTATTACTTAAAATAAAACAAATCTTTTACCATGGGAAAAAATCTTCTGAAATAGGAATATTACATATTTCCGACTTATTTTAAATATAAACTAACAGTTGTTATCAATCAGAATTACTGCTTTAAGAAAACTAATCAATTCAGCCGTAAGAAATTGGAATATTTTATTTTAATTGTTTCAAAATAACATTTAGCAGATGAAACTGTGACCCTATCGTAATACGACTGAAGCTATAAACCTAATTTTGAAATCATAATTTAAACAGAGCTGTGAAGATCGAACACACATTGCTGTGTGTTTTCCTGCGCATACCATCATACAATTTGCTTTTTAGTATTATGTCTTCAGTACAGGGGAATAACTGGGGCCAGAACCAGTTCTACAGGGGCACTGGCTCCTGTTGGCCCCAGTCTAGAACTGCCCATGGACAAAAAAAATTATGCAGTAGAAGCACTAGATCAGAAGTCCCCTATATAAGAGAAAAAATTAGTTATGGGTTTTTATTTTGGCACTACATGCTCAATCCATCGCTTTCCTCCATGAAAGAAGGGGAATTCTTGTTTTTCGCAGCAAAAATTTTGTAAGTTACTCAAATTAAGATGAACACCCAACTAAATGTCGAAGAAGTGAAATACTAATACACACAATGAATGGCAGCTATAACTTAGTGAATAGCTTCAGAGAAACACTGTAGTAGTAGCCATTAAAAATTTTCCTTGATAGGCCCTTGGCTCATCCTTGGCTTTTCCTTGGCTGGTCCCCTTCAATTCCTTTTTAAACATACGGTAAACAAGAATAAACATTAAACATCAATTAATCTTACATGGCAAAATTATATAAATAAGTGTTTTTATTTTGAAAACTCAGAATAAAAACACTTATTTCTTATTTATTTATTCTACATTTATTATTTTTTCTTATTTATTTATTTATTTATTTATTTATTCTACATTTATTAATTTTTTACACTTATTTATTCTTAAATATCTAAACCAAACAGCAGTTTACAGGTACCACATAGTGTTATTCAATGTTTTTTGATTAGTTTTGCGTTGAATTGGCTGCAGGGGTAAAGGCCCCAGAAGCTGTAATTAGTGTGAATCCACACAATTGATGCATCGAAAAATATATACTCTAAGCAAACAAATGGAAGCAAATGTTATAAGCACATTTTTTAAATGTTGTTTTGGTCAAATCAATCCTGACATACATGAGATCTAACTGAAATATCCTGTATCATGCTTTTTTTAAAGGGGAGTTTCTGAGCTCTGAAAATTCCACTTAATGATTAAGGTATCTCCATTATTTCTTCATTATTATTTTGATGAATAAGACTTAGGTTAAAATATTTGCATAATATATATATATGAAGATTTCTGACCATATTCATCCTCAAGCCTTTTTACCTGATAGAGACAGACCTTTGTGGGGTTCCTTCATTATTTGGTTCTGCAATCATGTATTTTTTAAACAGAAGTGCAAAGGGTGAATATTAGGGTAGATATTGAAAAAAAAAAATTCTGAGGACATAACTAAAATGTCCTACAGGGCTTTGAAGACTACACACACCCCCCCACCCCACACACACACACACATCCAAATCAAATCAGTTAATTCATACAGCTCCAATTAACAACACATGTCATCTCAAGGCAATTTGACAAGTAGATTAGATTAAATCATAAGGACAGATTGCTTAGAAAAATTTCCATCTAAGGTGTAAGTCACGGCTTGCTGAATTCACTCCTTCAGGATGTCCTTTTAGACACAGCGGACAATTGCTTGCATCGTATTGTTGACTTTTGCCGCAGTCTGTCATGAAACATCCATATAATGACAGTGGAGAGGAAAACTAACTTTTAACAGGAAAACTTTCAGTAGGAAGTAGGTTGAGTAAATGTAGTGGATGACTTAGGTCTATAAAGTAAAAAGATCAGTTCTAATCATTTGCATTTCCAGCTTCACAACACAGACTGGGGGCTAATCAACGTATTAATTGTACAGGAGGAGGGAAAATTAGGCAGGCATTTTTACTTTATTGACCCGGATTATCCACCTCTGCAGAGCATACACTCAAAAATAACACAGAGGCAATAATTCAACAATACCTAATAGCTCCTGCTGTGTTGCATTAGTAGTTACTGTACTAGCTTCATCAAGGATGTAAATGCAACTAAGCAGATGAACTCTGAGCCAGTAATTAAGTCTAGAACATTAAACATAACACATATATTTAGCTGCAGTAAAAACTCAGGTGTTAGGGGAGAGAAAGAGTTAAGCTTGGTTTGTGCTTGACACGTCCGTGAGGTCCGCCCCTCCCCGCAGACTGCGGACAGAATTTCGGCATGTAGCATCCAGGAATATTTGTAACTACACAGATGAATCCACGTAGAAAACATGGGGGCCAACAGCAGCTCCTGCTGGTGAGGGTTCGCAAATCTAAACATTTACACACAGATTTAGCTAACATATAATACCACTATCAACACATTCCTCCTTTTTGAAATACCAACCTTTTACTATTCTGTATTTGTTTTCCCCTTTATAATTCCCTGGTATTAATTTTTTTCTTGTGCAATTCATTTATGAAGCTAAATTGAAAAAATATATAATATATGAAAATATATAATAAACATCAGAGCGTAAATTATGACCCTTTGGATCACTTTGATTTCTATAAGCAATGCAGGTTTTCATTGGCCAGACTGGTATAAATGCCACATCCTGGAACAATGTGTCGGCTGTGAGACCCGTAGGAGTACCTTCCAAACTATATCACAGACCGTATGTATGTATGTCCATTAGATATTATATATCTTTATATATTATACAAGTAATATATTATAGATATTATTACTTGTACACCGCCAGGGATGCAGAGCCACTTGCCTTAACACAGTCTATAAATGAAGGATTTTAAGCCATTGTGAGTGTATCAATACTTGGATTCCTGTGAAATTTCATATTCATTACATTATAAAAAATAAGGCTATTAAATATATAAGTTGGTCAAGATAGATAGATAGCAGAGATGGCAAAAGTACTCACTTTCTGTACTTGAGTAAAAGTACAGATACTTGTTTTAAAAAATACTCTGGTAAAAGTGGAAGTACTGATTAAACTTCTTTACTCAAGTAAAAGTAACAAAGTACAGGCTTATAAATTTACTTAAAGTACAAACGTAAAAGTAGAAACCACTTTTTTCATGCCGTTGCCTACATTTTAAATGGATGTCTGCCAATAGGAATAGATCTCCGTTGTGTTCATTTTCAATCATCTCGTCATCCATACTACTATGCTAACGCCACCGCCACCAAGCTGCAATGATTTGCCGTGAATGAATACCGCCGAATCTGTCGATTCATCTTGTAGTGGTGCGTCAAATTCAACGTAGATTCCCATCCAATTAGATTGAATTTGGTATTGATGACGCGAAAAATAATAACGGTAACTCAATTGAAATGATTCAAAACTAAAGTAACAAGCCAATTTTTTAAAATGTAAGGAGTAGAAAGTACAGATATTTGTCTAAAAATGTAAGGAGTAGAAGTAAAAAGTCTCCATAAAAATAAGTAATAATGTAAAGTAAAAATATCAGAAAAATCTACTTGAGTACAGTAACAAAGTATTTGTACTTCGTTACTTCCCATCTCTGATAGATAGATAGATAGATAGATAGATAGATAGATAGATAGATAGATAGATAGATAGATAGATAGAT